GTAATAAAATAAAATTATGTACTTCATATTGTTCGTCAGAGTAGCCCCACTCACAGGTCGTGTGGCAGATTGACTCAAAAACGTAGTATCCACAGAAATCATTCCCTTGTTCCTGCCACAACCACTTTACAAGAAATAGAGGTCAATCAAACTGATAAGTAAGAATGCCAAATGGTATTGATGAAACTAGCGCTTGAATCAATAGGAGATGCGCGGAACATGCTACTATAGTACTTACTTTCGGGTGTCTAAATTGCAGCTTCTTCGGAAGTCCCGGAGCTTTTTTGGTGAATTTTTTCCAAACCCTGTTAGACAAAGAAAACAATTACTTGATATATCAGGAAATGAACAAAGTTACTGATATGGTGGATAATGATCGATTTAACTTACTTCTCGAGCATTTGAGTCATGTCCGCATAGTCCTGGGGATCTTTTCGTCTTGAGTCTAAGACGGTTACTAGTCCCTGCTCAAGCTTAATCTCTAGGAGAATATAGTGGAAACTGCACACGCATGCATAACTCATCAATTACATTACTATAACCTTGACTAATATATAAGGGAAACCGAATACGCACAAAACAGTAACACTCACTTGAAGTTGTAAGGAAAGAGTATTATATCTTTGTTTTCATTTATTACCAATGATCGTAGCAAGTTGGCCTCGGTATCTGCGGCATGAAATTTAACCTCAGTTGCATCTATGAGATATGTGTTAATGAACCCAATATCACCGACTTGTCTTTTCTTCAATTCGGCGATCTTCAATCTGCATAATATAGTGAGGATAATTATAAATACATGCAATGAAAGAGCTGAGCTATATAAAGATACTTAATGACAGAAGTAGTACTACTTACAGACAGTAGCAGGTGACCGTTGCTTTATCGAGGGCCAATTGATTGAAAAACTGAAAGAACTCCTCAAATGGAACAGGCAACAGATCAATTCCAACGAGGTCATGCTCCTTTTTAACTTTCACATACAAAGTACTCCTCCCCCCAGACTCTCTGCAGATTTTCAAGTACCAATCATGCAATCTTCGCATCATCGTTGATAGAGATCTTTCATCTTTGACGAGAGGCTTCCCGTACTCGTATCTTTGTATCTGCACCTCCATGAAATCAAAATGTACATCGTCCGGCAGGTAATCTCCAAGATTGCTATAACCGGGCACCATCCTCGGATCATTAGCGACGATGTCGCTAGGCACCTTGAGCGGGGGGCATGATTGCTTCGCTTGTTCGCCGAGCTGTGCAATTTGTTTCCCAGCTCGTCGTTCTTTCAGCCTTTGATCACTGACAGTACTTCTCGACCGCTCCGCTTCGGCAAATTCCTTTCCAATAATGCGGTCATAGTTTCCTTTCGGCGGAGACTTGGGTGGTTTTGTCAGGGCAGCCAGAGTGCGCTTCGCTTTCACCGGATCTACCTTCTCCTCTGAAGGTGGATGTTTCTTTGCTTTCACCCCTTCAAAGAAGTTCCTCACTTCTTCTCACGCGATCTCGGCATTCTCCTCCAGGGTCCTCTCGTATGGTAACTTCTCTGGAGTCTTCAGAGAAGGACCGAATCTGTATGTCCTTCCGCCTCTGGCTGTACTGCTAGACGCCGGCAGAGAAGACGGGGCGGTTGTCTTCTTTACTTGCTTATGAGGCGGAGGATAAGGACTACGACGCGCCGGAGCAGCCGGAGCGGCGGCAGGTCTCTTTCGCCCTTGCTGACGAGGCGGAGAAGGAGGAGGCTGGCTGCTCGGGCGCGCCGGCGCAGGCGGAGAAGGAGGCGGAGTGCCGCCACGCGCCGGAGAAGGAGTCGGCAGAGTGCCCTGATCGTCACTCGCCGGAGGAGGCGGTGGAGGAGGCGGAGTTCCCTGACTCGCCGGAGGAGGAGGCGGTGGAGGAGGCGGAGTGCCCTGACTCGCCGGAGGAGGAGGAGGAGGCGGAGGCGTCCAGTTCGGAAGGTTGATGAGCTCCTTCTGCCATAGGCATGGAGTCTTCAGAGCAGAACCCAGCCTAGTCTCCCCTTCACCGGTAGGGTGGTCAAGCTAGAGGTCCTCAAATCCCTCCATTATTTCATCCATCATCACCCTAGCATATCCTTCTGGAATCGGCCGACAGTGAAAAGTTGCGCCGGGTTCAGTAGGATAAACAGAACCAACAGCCGCCTTGACCTTCAAATTCATCCATTGCGTCATAAGGTAGCAATTTTGAGACTCCGTGATAGCATCCACGGGATAGCTGGCAAGAGCCGTCAAGACATGCTCCGACTGAAGCAGCTCGGTGGAAGCCACGCTGCTTCTCCGCTGAGATGGCGGGGTAGCTTTGGGGGAAGTTTCGGCAGTTCATTTACTGTGATTTGCTTCTCGTTCCTCTATCGCTTGTACCCTTGCTTGCAGCGCCTGCATTTGGGTCTGCTGCACTTTTTTCCTCCTCTTCTGGCATTTGTAACCGCCTGCGTCCGGAAACCCAACCTTCCATGGAATGGAGCCTAGCGTGCCTCGTGTCCGTCCAGGGTGCTCAGAATTCCCAGGGCCATTGTGAGCTCGTCGTTCTCTCTGTCTGGAATGAACGTCCCTTGCTGCGCTGCTTCGATATACTGCTGAAGCTTCCTGACTGGTATGTCCATTTGATCGTTCGTCCAAATGCACTTCCCTGATACAGGGTCCAAGGTTCCGCTAGCCCTGAAGAACCAAGTCCGGCAACGGACTGGCCAGTTAATTGTCTCTGATTCGATCCCTTTACCAGCCAGATCACTCTCAGTCTTGGCCCACTTAGGCCGGGCTACGAGGTAGCCACCTGACCCCGTGCGATGGTGATGCTTCTTCTTCGGAGCATTTTGCTTGTTTGTCGCCGACATCTTCTTACTCTTTTCCGATGTCCTGTGGGCCACAAATGCGGGCCAGTGATCTCTGATCTTCTCATATCTGCCCTTGAATTCTGGTGTCTCTTTATTTTCGACA